AAAAAAAAAAAAAAAAAAAAGCATACATAGTATTCCCAACAGTCATAAGCCAATGCCATTATTTAAAATACATTTTTTGTTTTTAATAAACCTGATGCTTTGTTTCACCACAAACCCAAGTTATAATTGGAATGTCTGAAGTAAAATTCAAGTGCAGTTTTCACATCCTAAGATACAGAGAGGATTATAGAACAATTCAGTACAGCAGAGAGCTGACAGATACGTATGTCGTGTTACACTCTGAATGAGGTGGGTCAGCAGCAGCAAAGATCAAATTTAGAACTTGTGGAGTCTTAAAACATGAGTCTCTACTATTGATCTCAGGCAAGTCAAAGCTATGGCATGCTCATCAACCTCTACAGATGTCTCAACCAGCATTAGAGGGAAAAAGCACCAGTCAGCAAGTGGGGGGGGTTACAGTTGTAGGCTTGGAAAGCCAGTAAAAGAATGAAGTGTACTCTTTGTCTAAATAAAAATGACTAACTTGAAATGAGTGATATCTACAGGTGTAGTGTGGGTTGATCTAGACTTCTTAATTGGATAAAGTGTGCATTTGAAATACTCATAGGTGCGTCAGTGCTGAATGCTGAACCATAGTGCTCTGTGCTGTGCTGCAAATGCAGCTATATTGCTTCTGCTTCAGGTGTCAGCCATACAAACCAGTGCAGTGTAAGGACGCTGCCATCTGCCTTGATTTGTTTACCTTATGCACATGGCTAACCTCTAATTACTACTGATCAGAGAGGGGTAAAATCACGAGGAGGTCTACCAATGTAAGGAGAAAGAAGTCTGCTGCCAAGGCCACTACTCACACGAGATGCAGAAAGAGGATGAACTGTGTGGAAACAATTCCACTCTGCACATAGAAAGGAAACTGAGTTTTATTTTTAATCAGTAAAAATTATTGTGGAGTTACAAAAATAGATATATGAATGTATAAAATATCAATTAAAAAATCCCAAATACGGTAAGTAAAACTTGCTGCAAGTGACCAATAAAAACGTACTGTTCAACTGAAGTGTATTTTACTATGTATTACTGGTAATAAAAACCTAGCCAAGCTGGGTTCAATATCTTTAGGGATATACGATCCAAGCCTGGAGGAAGAAGACTGCCTGGAACTGTGGTCCGCTGTTCAGATTTCACTGTGGGGTTTGTTAGCACACATGCCATATGCTGTGGAAAACTGGTCTTCTAATCTGTCTTTTCAGTCTTCCTGTAGCGGAGTATTGTAGTTGTGACCCATATGTTGAGAATCAGCATAATCACAAAACGGACAAGAACTAAAAAGGAAAATATTAATAAGATGCTGAGATGTAGTAAGCATAAATGTTTTTAAAATCACTGCTATCATTTTCCTAGAACACATTAGCTTGTAAACTTTTACTAGAGTACAGTTTGGAAAATTTACATTCTAAGAATTCATTTAATAAACTTCCTTAAATTACCAAGTAAAGGAACCCAAGCATCACAAAACAAGAGTTGTGAATGGAGTTCAATGTTCACGTTTTCCTGGAGAGGGGGAAAGTTAAGTGGTATCTCAAGACTTAAAAAAAAAAAAAAAA